GTGTTATGGAAAGCTGCATACTATAGTGGTAGCTCGGTGCTGTGATCTACATGATGGAATAACCCCCCAAAATGCCAGTGTATGTGTTACAGCGCATGCTGTGTTGCACTGAGGAAAGTGCAAAGGTTCCCTGGCAGTGCTAAACCCCCTTCTGCTATTTATGTGTCTGTGCAGTATACATGCAAATGGGGGTATGTATGCAAATATTCACACAAAAGTCTAATGTAACTTTGTGTCTCCCTTTTAAGCAATAACCAACCTGAGTAGCTTTTAGTTAGGTTACGTACAGATGAGGGCTTAGAAAGTTCAGTAGCTCAAAAAAACCCAATGTGCTTGTCACTGCATGGACACACTAAGCCCACCTGCTTTAAAAAAAAAAAAAAATCAGCCACCATGCCCCCAAAACACAAACCCAAAAACCACATCCCTATTCCTGCATTCTTGTGCCACAATGAAGATGAACTTACCCTCAGCATCTGCTCAAGGAGCAAACTGGGATGCTTTCCTGGGGTTCCCCCTTGACGTGCAGGGAGAATTTTAATAAGGACATCTGCCAGATACCGAACTTATCACAGGATGGTTGAGCCTGGAAGGCACATCTGGATGTCTCGTAGTCCAACAACCTGCTCTGAGCAAGTTCACCTAGAGCAGGATGCTCAAGACCATGGCCAATAAAGGTTTTAGCATCTCCAGGGATGGAGATTCCACAGCCTCTTTGGGCAACCTGTTCCAGTGTTTGACCATCATCACAATAAAAAGGGTGTTTTCTTGTGTTTACATGGAATTTAGTGTATTTCATTTTGTGCCCGTTGCCCTTTGTCCTTTCCCTGGGCATCACTGAGAAGAGTATGGCTCCATCTTCTTTACTACCTCCCATCAGGGTTTTATAGACATTGACAAATCTCCCCCTTATGCATCAATCATCAATGGCAGATGCACAAGACGAGTCAGTAGCCTGGACAAAGCAACGCAAGGATTACAGGTGATCTCAGCTGGAATATGAGTTAAAAGATAGTCATGTTGCTGCACATATAACAAATCCATACTGGAACATATGGACAGCAGTATTATATGTAAGGCAAGTGGCCTTACATCTTACTCAACAATGGTCAGGTCTCTGCTGAAGGATCATGGTGAGTTTGGGCCATTACAACTCAAGAAAGTTGCAGACCTATCACAGAGGATCCCAGTGACAGCAACAACATTGATCACTGTGCTGAAAAACATCACCTCTAAGAAAATCTTACAAGAATGGGGTTGGTTTTGTCTAAGGAAAAAAAAAGAAGAAGGAAGGGTAAGTCTTCAAGCAGTGAGTCTTCAGGTTCTGCAGGAGGAAGTAATGGACAAAAAAATTACAAAAAGTAAGGTGAGAGATTTAGGTTGGACATTGGGAAAACTTTCCAAGGTTGTTGAGGCACAAATTGCCTGAGGAGGTTCCTCATCTGTGGAAGACACGAGAAGGTTATGTAGTATCTGCACGCAACGGCAGAGGTAGGGCTGATCCTGCCTTTGGAAAGAGAGACAGACTATGTGATGTCTTGAAGTCCTTCCAACCCAACTTTCTGTTGTTCTATGAAAAATGCGCAAAATCCACCTTGAACATGTGCCTCTCATGAAGTATTAAAAGGTACGGCTACTAAGCCAGGCATTTCTATTATCGCATTATTTAAAATGACAAAATCCTCCTTGTTTTATTATCAGCAAGCAGAAACAGAAACTCTAAAATAGCTCACCAAAAAGATCTCCAGTGCCTAGAGAACACTGATGGGAGAAACTGAGAGTAGCTTAAGATTTAGTCCAAATGATCTGGAGAGATTTCTGAATCTGAATACCTGAAATAGGCATTTTTAACAGAACTATTCTCAAAATATCTGTGGGCATCCTCCCAAATCTGGGCCTCACAGAGGTACAAAATATTTCTACTCCCACAGTCTGTATTATGTTATTCTTCAAGATGGATTGTGTCGCGTTTGTCACACGTGGTTCACTCTTGCCCTAAATGTTTTTGCAGCCACTGGCACCATTGCAAAGCAAGTATAAAACACCATCAGGCTAATGTAATGCCTTCTTCTATTCGATGAGTCCTAATGCAAATGGCTCTGCAAGGCCACGGGGAGCTGGGCTCTCCTGTTTTATGCATAGTTACCTGTCACTCTATCTGCATGGGCTGCTTTCAAAGACCTCTTTGTCTGCAAGGTAAACTCAGGCTGGAGATGATCTCAGACTTTAAATCCCAGCCAAGGGAAGTCATCAGGCTACAAAACCCACAAAGTTAAAAATACAGGGAGCACTGGAAAATCAACAGGAAACAATTTCTGCTGACTGAAGTTTTCAGCCTTCTTCCAAACGCCAGCTAGCAGCGGCCTGTCAGATGGGACAAAGCAGCTACATGAAAGCAGCAGCGGTCCTTAACTTAGTCCATTAAAGCAGGAGCGAATGCCAGGAAAAGATTAGGATTGTCTCTCAGCTGTGATTGTATATCTGGATGTTTTGGCGCCAAGGTAGCTGAGTCCCGCAGACCCTCTTTCCACTCCTTCCTCGTGGCGAGGGTGCCCTGGACAATGGTTGCCAAAGGGGATTTCTCCCTTTCTTCTGGCTCTTGACATTAGCAGGCCTGAAATTGGTCCTGGCAGTTTGGTATGAAGTACTTCCCATCTCGGGGGATTCCCAGGCCTGTTTGGATGTCAGGTGTCTGAACACAGCTTTCTTTGGTCTGACTGTCTCGGGGCAATGCCTGTCAGACTGACTTAGTTAGATTGTAAGTGCCAGCCATCAAATGAAGATGGCTTCATCTTTCACCCCCAGCAAAGCACAGTGTTAAGCTCGTTAGTACAAAACCATTATGGAAAAAATTATGGAAGAAAAGCATAAAAACCATGAAAACACAGACCTAAAACTTTCTTCTCTTGCTCTGGTGTTCGCATCAGATGATGCATCCCTCAGCTGCAGAAGCTGAAGGTCCAGCTCAGTAACACTCTGCTTTCAGAGTGGGACGTCTCTGAGGCATACCCAGACACAGGGGTGGGAAAACCATCCTTTCATCTCCCCAGTCCACAGAGCCTCTCGAGCCCACGTGTAAGCTAGCAAGCTTGCCTTGACCCACTGGGGAGCTCACTGATGGTACCCAGAGCACCTGCTCTTGCTGAATTTGTTCAAGGTGGACTCCCCCCTCCCTCCATCTATTGAGATTTTTCAAATGTATAAAATGCAGGTGCCTTTTAAAGGTACATATTTTCTTATCTCTGATCCAATATGATCACTGAAGAAACATGGCTGTGGCCAAGGCAGCACTGTGCAACCCCATAAGAAAAGCCCAGCCAGTCACATGAACCACTGCCATTCCCTCCGTGTGTGTGTATATGTGTTTGAAGTAGGATTTATTTCTTGGCAACAGGCATTTTCCCCCTCCTTTCATTGTAATTGGTAGTTACAATGATGTAAGATCATTTAAGGGTATTGCTTTAAAAAGTTTACACAGGGCCGCAGACGTGAAATCTTATTACATCATTGGGTCACCAGTCCACGGTCATTGCTTTAAAATTATGTGGATTTTAAAAAAAGAAAGTTGGAAGTGATTTTTTCATTTGTCGTCTGGCCTCTGAGCCTTTACAGGTGCACTAATTCTCCATTGGCAAGTTTTTTCCATGCGCTCATGAGGACAAAACACACTTTTTTCCTTCTCTTTTCTTTTTTTTTTTTTAATAAAAGTTGTTCCTGGCACTATCGTTTGGTTCCAGCTAGTAGAATTATCAGAAGAATGTTAAATACTACAAGAATATCAATAAAATCACAGGCATTAGCAACACCATCCGAGTGCTCTGATATTAGGTGGCCACTGGTTAGACGATGATTTTACTGCTGCCCAGTCTCCATCATACTAAGTCTGAAAGAAATGCATTAACAGGAAGAGGGAAAAAAAGCTGTTCAAAGGGAGAAGACTAAATTTTCTGTCTCAAAAACTGAAACCTGATTATTTATATATGCAGGCACTAATTTAATACAGGATTCTGAATCCATACAGGTATGTTTGCATCGTGCTGGAAAGAGAGGACTGGCATGGCAGAATAATAAGCTATTCTAGCCTGGGGTATAGTCATTTGCTCATGAAGGAGAGAGTTATGATTTAGAGCCTAAGTTGAGCACTGATCAGCTAATCCTGCCATCCTCCTCCTACTGAGAGTGGCCTGAGACCATCGAGTCTCGCCGGCACTCCTGTCTGAGGGACAGCAGAGCCAGCGGCCATGTGGGAGGATTATCACAACTCTCGCCCAGTTAATTGCTCTGATTTGTGTCTTAACCTTCACTGACACCCACTGCAGTTGTAATAGCCCCCATGCACATTGCCTTTTGCTCCCCATAGCTTAAATATTCCTTGCTAACCTTTCTGGCCTTGTAAGTCGCACCTCTTTTAAAATATAAAGTGTTTTAATAATTGAGCAGTACTGTTAATAGCCTACCCAGCTTTGCTAACCCTTTAATAGTTAAAATCTTAATAAGTAAACTGCATCAGGTGGGTTTCTCTGCTTATCACCTTCCCTCAGCACAATGAGGCTTTTTAGCTATTTAGGGAGGTTTAAATCTTTTGTATTAGGTTTATAGCTGGCCAGTGGCACAACAGCCAACTCAGCCATAATTCTAGATGGCTATTTCCAAGTGGAAACTTGGAATTTGAATTCAAATGACCTTACCTCTTTTTATTATTATTATTCTTTCCTGTATGTATTTTTCAGCTTGCTCATTCTTAATTCCTTCAGTACTTATTACTGCAATAAGCCTAATCCTGTGTACTTGTACACCCCAAGTGTGGGAGCCGTAAATACTTCCGCAGTCCCTCCAGGGCAAATCAGCTGTAATTGGATCTCCTATTGCCTCATGAAAAAAAGAAAAAAAAGGAAAAGAAGGAAAGGCACATTCTAGCCGAAGACAATTCTGCGTCTGTGCCCGTGTGTTTGTGTCTCTGCTGCCCTCGAGTAACTCTCTGTCCTTTTGCTCTGCTCCAGGCTGAGTTCTCCGAGCTGAACCTGGCTGCTTACGTCACGGGCGGCTGCATGGTGGACATGCAGGTCATGAGGAATGGCACCAAGGTGGTAAGGTGAGGAGCACTAGTTTGTCTTGAAAATTGGGCTTTCTGGAGCAATGTTGGGGCAAGCAGGATGACCTCAGGGTCTGACAGGTATCTGAACTGGGGCAGCGCAGTCCTGATGACTTCGAGGTTTCCTGGAAGAGGTGGAAAGACTGACCTGACTGGTGGTTTTGTATCAGGTCTCAGTTGCACATTATGCCATACAGTCATTGTTTCCAGTCTAGACCCTTCATGCAACCACAAATGCCTCCTTTTCAGGTCCTTTTTAGCCTCAGGCCTCCCAATAAAAGGGACAATGCATCTGCCTTTCCCTTGATTTTTTTCTCCTTCAATGTCAACTAACCTTCATTGTAAACAGTGGCTTGCATTCATTAGCCTACCTTGCATTAGCCACAAAGCCTTTCCATGATCCTGATCTTCACAGCCTCATTTGTTCCTGAAATATCACCTTTTTTTGCCAGACATTCCCAATGCTCCCAGCCTTGCCCTGTGGTATATCTCAAAGGTAGTACCATATCTCTGTTTGATGGGGATTTCTGTCCCTACTAGTGTTACTTTGTAATCGCAGTCATTGCAAGCAGACTCTTTTCCTCAGCAATGCTTCCCCAATCACACACCCAATTCACTTTCCAAAAGCATTGCTCCCCTTCTTTCTGACACCAGAATGCCTGCAATTCGGAGTTAATGTTATTACCTTTCACCCTTTTATTCCCAAGCCTACATCTTTATGAGTTTCTGTCATTACAACTTCTAACTCTATATTTCATCTCTGGTACAGTAGCTTTTCTTTGTTCCTGTTGAAATCTCATTGCTATTCCCAAACCATTTTTCTAGCCTCCCTGCTTCTTTTTGTACAATTCTTCTGCGCTTTTTGGTGTATACAGCGTCTCCGAGTTTAATATTGTTCACACATTTAATCAACGGTTTTGTCTGTTTGCTTCTAGTTCAGAAATAGAGACACCTAATATAGCATGCAGGGATATTTTTGAAAGGGATTATTAGAACAGCTGAAAAACAGTGATTCTGAGCACACTGGCCTCAGTTTAATTTCTCAAGATGTCATTTCCAGTCCAAACAGTGCAAAGCAACACTTGTCACTGTCAGTTAGCTATGACTGTGGTCCATCAATTCATTTCAGGTCTTGACAGATCTTAGTACATCCACAAGTCTTCATTCATTCTTTGGTACAATTTCACAAGCGTCTGCTAAAAACTTTTAAGGATGAGTCTGTTACATCCATTTGTTTTCTCTCATCCCACAAATGTCTGTTTCTCAGTGAAACAAAGCGTATGTCCCGTGAACCAGCCACTGGAGCATCTGTCAGACAGTGTGCTGTGCTAATGCATTCTTGTGTTTGCTTGCTCATGACACTGGAAGGTTTCCCAAGAACCATTTCCTAGGTTGATCACATCTTCATTTTCCTTCCCGTGCCTTTCCTCCCAAAGCCATTCATACATCTGGCAGAAAGATCTTGAGCTATTAAACTGAAACTGAAGACAAAATTTATTTCACAAGAGTGTCTGGGGCATGGTGTTCATGTTTCTGCTTGCAGTAAATACAGTTATCACAGCTAGCCTTTTTGCGTGGATACTTATATATGAAAATGAAAGTTTTTCTGAATGGCATTAGTTCATTTTTTTGTTTTCGTCTATGCATGTTTAAGGACACATGCATTTGTGTGGTGGGAAGTGGATTTGGCAAATACATACTTGTCTGGATACCCAATTTATATGGCATGTGTTGTCCATGGATTATTATAGTCCTTACAAGCACAAGCCATTTGTTTACAGCCTGTGCTGATGTGCCCCTGTCCTGCCCAGCTCAGTGAGTTTAAGAGCTCAGGTCAGCCAACTTCCACAGCCACTCCTACCAATACTTTAGAAGTTACAGAAATAAAAACTCTTCTTCACTTTAGAAGATGAATTATGGAGCATACTGTTACTGAGCTGTGTGGAGGCCTCTCAGCCCATCCACATGGCTGCAGCTTGCTTCCCACTCCCTCCAAGTCCCCCCCATCCTGCCTGCAGCTGTGTCCTGCCTGGCCACAGACACCCCTCGGGGTGCCCAGCCACAGGGTGATGCCACACGGGACACCTTTGACTCACATGTGTGCGCCAACCCTGCTGATGATGACATTTTTTTTTCCATCACTTTTTAGGCCTCTGTTAATTATTAAGCAAAATATTCAGTCACAAGTCAGAATGTTTCTAGATGGCAAGGTATAATACACATCATGGTTTTTGAATACCCAAAGTCTTTGGAAATCCCACTGACAAGTTATAGGAAGGAAATATGACAGCATCTTGCTAACAGGCACATTTGGGATTCCCCGCCTGCAGGAGCCCTGCCTTCTTCACACTCCTCTTCAAAGCGAAGGCAACAGAGCATGGCAGTTTAGTCAAAAGACAGTGAATATACTACAGACCAGTGGATTTTAAATCAATGAAATAATAAACGTTTATAACAACAGCAACAACAACAACAATAATAATAATAATAATACAACCACTGGGCTATTCTCTCCAGTTTGAAATTATGTTGACTGATAAACTATCTAACAATCTATTAGCCTATTAAATTCTGTCATTTTACAGCAGGTCTCCTAGTTCTTTCTTTAAACTGGGGACATCCTATTGCACATTTAAATCAAAGCTCTTTCTTTGCTGATCCCTTGATCCTTTCTGACACCTTGAAGTTAAGGCATTCTTTTAGACTCTGTGCCAACTGATTTGAACTGCACCAGGAAAGAATCGTGGTTCTTTTACCTGGAAGATAAATCCCCTAATAAAAATGTGTAACAGTCCTTGAAGCCCTACACTTACCACTTGCCTCAGGCAAATTTAAAAAAAAAAAAAAGGAGCTTTAGAAGCATTACTGTCAATTAAAGAGAGCAAGGAATTGGAAGTACGCAGACCTCCATGACTACTAGCCTGTGTATTCTGAAACAAGTAGCTACAAGTAAGTTAGCAAACAACATAACTGAAGCCAGGCATCACTTTGCTTGCCTGAATTTTTAAAACAAGTGTGGCTCCCAGAATTTCATTTTACAGTAACAAAATTCTGGGTCTCCACCTCCTCTTTTTTTAGCTACTAAGTTCTGCACATCTGTAGGATGGGGTGAGGAATTTGATAGTCTCAGTGAAATCTGCTACTGGAGAGAAAGACTATCATCTAACAAATCTAAAAAACTGTGTGTGTTTTTTCTGTGCCAGTTCCACCATGGTATGTGATGGGTCCATCGGCCTATTCAGCACATTTTCTTCAGAGTTAGAAGAAAAAGAGCTGGCCATGGAGTACCTCATGCAGTCTCTAGCAAGCACTTTCCTATTTCAGTGCCCTGCAACACGTGCCCTGAGGACAGTGCAGGGGGATGAGCTGGGCACCGGGAGCAGCGTTGGGCTTAGCCAGGGCTGGCGCGGGAGGAATCTCTCATACATTGGTCCTTGTTACCCCAGCACTTCTTTGGGTAAAATTGGCACCAGAGCTTCCCCAGTGAAAAGTTAAATATGGGAAGCAGGAGGTGGCACTTATTCATCCCAATGGATCCCTCACCAACTTAGACATAGCAACCCCTTCAACAGAGAAATGGAGTCATTTCTGGGTGCGATGTCTGGACTACTAAGCAGTGTGAAAAAACAAGCGTGGGCTGATGCCTGCTTTTAAAACACTTGGGTGGATTCTTCATCCTCCTCCCAGTGCATGCGCAACTTCCTTTTGCACAGGTCTACACACACACACAGACACACACAGAGTGAACTGTCTGGAGTCTAATTTACCTCAGAAAGCTCTTGGGCTGTGTCACCTCTACTGGGGTTAGATGTAAGGAATGGGATTTTCATTTTCACTTGTCTTCATTTCTCTGAAGGGCCCTTCATACCAATGTTTCCACAGTGCAAAGAGGCTGTCAGTGCTGGCACTGCACCCACTCTGAGGTGCATTCATGCTTTCAGGATATTATAAAAGTGTCTTAGCATAAATGAGAATTTGGGCTGTCTCTGCTTCTGACAACACTTAGACTCCTGAACTATGATCTCAGCCTCTGCATTAGATTAAATGCAGTCTTGTGTTTGCATTTTGGGCTTTACAAGCCTTCAGCTATTAATTCCAGTAGATGTGGGAATAAGGCAGGGATATGTTGAAAATCTGGACAGCTTTCTTGCATGGGGAATACTAATGTCTTTGGGAGCATTTCAGACTTTTAAGGATATAAATTAATCATGCACCAGACTGCTCTCATCTCCTGTCTCCCTGTGGAGCTGGCTCTTTTGCCATTGGGGCTGATCATCCAGGGGAGAAAGCACATTTTTGTGTGTCTGCATGGGACCTACCACAGCGGTGTGCAGACCACTTACAGTGTGGTATGCAGACTCACTGTAATACCACAGTACAGACAACAGCTTGATGGACTAGGAGATGCCCAGGGTCTGAAATGGGGAGGACCCTGCGTGAAGCAATGGCCCTGGCAAGTGGGGAGGTGTGACAAAACTGACAGCAAAGCAAAGAGAAGCTGAGTGCTGTGGACAAAGCCTTGCTATAGGGAAGGATCTCTGCCATGGAGTGGTGTTTATTCCTACAGGTCTTGCCTGAATTTGGCCGGTCTGTATAAGAAGGTGTGTGTCTCACCCTGCTCGCCCTAGGTGATATGCCCTTGTCACTCGCAGCTGTGGTGGGGTCATTGAATGCTCTGATTCTTCCGTACAAGCCCATTCATTCCTTTAATTAACATTGACTTTCCTGTTGGTTCCAGCTGATTCAGTGCTTCTACTATGCTCTGCGCTCTGATAACAGGACGGCAGCCCGTTGAATCACCATCCCAAAGAGACCAGGACCTGAAAGTGCTTTTTTCCCAAAGCATATTTTTGCACTGCAAGCTGCAGTACAATCACAGCATGAGGAAACAAATCCTTTTACATGGGAGGAGCAGGGAAGAAACTGGCCAGCCCAGCAGCAGATGTCTTCCCACTATTCAGAGCTTGCAGACCCCAGGAGACGTGTGCTCTGGCTAAAAAAGATCTGCCTGCTCCAGGATGTCCAGGGAGGACACTGTCCTCTGCCCACTGCACCTTTTCCTGTCCCACTAGGTTCATCCACTCCACAGGGCCATTGACAAGCTGCTCCCTGAAAGAGGCATGTGGATTTTCTAACCTACAGAGGCCATGTTTTCTCACCACACAGTAGCTGCACATTGCTAGGAGACGGATATTTTCTTGTCTCTTGAGGACCATTCATTCACAAGAGTTGGTGGTTTCTTGTAGTTCTGCTACAGGGATAATATCCAGGGAGGTCATGGGAGTAGCTACTGTCCCTGGACACTGATGTAGGACATATTGGTAGGCAGTTGGTCACTTTCCAGTTTCTCATCTTCCAGGAAGCTTGTGTCAAAGAGGAACCCTAGGCTCTGTCTAGTCCCTGTCTTTTTAAATTGAACTCTTGACCTAATTGGGGATTCTTTTTAGAATGTCTTTTTCTAGTTTCTTGTTGCTCCCAAACCAAAATTCTGAAAATTTCTGCAAAGATGCAGATGGGAGAAAAAATAGGAGAAACTGATTGGGAGATTTTATGTTTCTAGAAGCCAGATGGAAAAATATGTTGAGTGCATGGTTCTCCCAAGACTGACAGAATGTGCCACATGGTATACTACAATATGTGCTATATATTTAACACTGAGCAACTTTTGGGCAATATTTTTGTATTGATGGCATGGCAATCTGTAAATGTAATGGAGAAGTGTGTGTAACAGCATGTAAGCTTTTGAAAGTGCACTTTACGCAAAACATCAATGTGCCACATGACCACTTCCCTTACCGAAATACCCTGCAGAGGCAATGGGCTGGGACAAGGTGTCAAATAAGGTAGACCCTGGCAAGTTGCAGTTACACATGAATTTAACACCTCCAGTAAACATTTATAAACCGAGAAATTATTCCCACAGGGGGGATGATTTACCCTCATCTTTCACTAATATCTCCCCCCTCTTCACCTGCCTGTCCCCATCCTCTTTTTTTTTGAGCGGGAGCTAAAAAAGAGAAGAGAAGTTGGGGTGTGCTTATTTACGTATTTATTCTCAGTTGCTTTCACTTCAGCTCCTGCTGCTAAATGGCTGCTTGGAGACCTGCTTCTCCTTTTGGGGTTTACTGATCTCCCAGATGAATAATGTCCCCCTTCACCTCCCCAGCAGCTGGCGCCCAGGCGAAGTGCAGGCAGGATGCTGACAGTTATTGGGAAAACATTTGGTGTGCAGGCAGCTGCCAGAAAGCAAAAGTCACTCTGAGTAGACCAGGGTGGGGAGCATCTCAGAGACTAAACTACTCCCTGGCCCCTTTTGCATTTACACTAATTCTTTCCAACAAGAAATGTGCTGCCAGGGCCTAGAGCACTCATTAATTAGTTAATCCTGGACTGAATGCAAGAATGATTAAAGACTGTTGTAGATTGTTTCAGTCTTGATCGGCTTTTTTTTTTCCCAATCCTGCCTTAATTTTTCTCCTTTCTACATGGGTTTTTACTAAGGCTTCTTCCAGGGAATGGCAAACAGAGAAGTGAAGGGCCAAGTCCTGCTGCACCTGCACTATGCTGGTCAAGGTGGATCTTCATTAACAACCTGATATTCAGACAGAGTGCAGCCTCAACAAGCTCATGGGTAGCAACAAGTTGGAGGGTGGGGAGCGATAGATAAGCCAGAGGGCGGAGCTGCCATTCAGAGGGACCTCAAGAACTGGGGAAATGGGCCAACAGGAACCTCATGGAGTTCAGTAAGGACAATTGCAAAGACTTGCGGTGAGGGAGGAATAATCCCAGTACTGCTGGGGGGGCAGCTGGAGAGAAAACATCTCTGCACAAGAGGGCCTGCAGGTCCTGTGTGCCCTTGCAGGGAAGAAGCCCTATGGCTTACTGGGCAGTATTAGCAAGAGTGTAGCTAACGAGACACTATTCACATCTGGAGTACTGTGCCCAGCTGTGAGCTCCCCAGTACAAAAAAGGCATTGACAAACTGGAACGAGTTGGGTGAAAGGCCACCAAGCTCATTGAACTGGACTAAAGACACCTATCATGGTTTAACCCCAGCCGGCAACTGAGCACCACACAGCCGCTCGCTCACTCCCCCCTGCAGTGGGATGGGGGAGAGAATCAGAAGAGTAAGAGTGAGAAAATTCGTGGGTTGAGATAAGAACAGTTTAATAACTGAAATAAAAGGAAGTAAAATCGTAATAGTAATAGTAATAATAATAATAATAATAATAATAATAATAATAATAATAATAATAATAATAATAATAATAATAATAATAATAATAATAATAATAATAATAATAATAATAATAATAATAATAATAATAATAATAATAATAATAATAATAATAATAAATATACAAAGCAAGTGATGCACGATGCAGTCGCTCACCACCCACCGACTGATGCCCAGCCAGTCCCCGAGCAGCGGCCCCCCCAGCCAGCTTTCCCCCAGTTTATGCACTGAGCATGACGTCACACAGTACGGAATGTGCCTTTGGCCAGTTTGGGTCAGCTGTCCTGGCTGTGCCCCCTCCCAGCCTCTTGTGCACCTCCAGCCTTCTCAGTTGGTAGAGCATGGGAAGCT